CGAGTGTTCCTGCTGGTTTTGCTATTGCCATTCTTTTTGTTTAACAACTACGTGTGCAACAGAAATGTCCACCACTTACCACTTATGGGAGCTAAACCAGATGCTCTCCTGCTGTGAGGTAGGGGATGTTTTGGTAGTTCTTGTACCAGCACATGCAGAATGAAGGCAGTGTTTCAGTTTCAACACAGAGTTTGTCTAATCAGGCAGGAGTGAGGTAGGATGCAGGGACAAGGGTTCTTTGACCAGATCCACTTCATGTAGCATAAAGCTACCTGCACTATCATCAGTCCTAAAAGATAGCCTTGCAAGAGTAACATTATCTAAGAATTAGGAAAACTTGGCTTATGCAAAGTTAACTGCTGCTAGTACTTAGGGTAGAGTATATCATCTAGGCAGAGGTCATGAGTGTAATGTTTGTAGATGGAAACCTGTTTGAACAAATATGAGCTGCTTCTGAGATATTTGCTGAAGCTTCAGCAGCAGCTAACCAGTGTCTGGTTAGGAAATCAGTTATTTTTAAGTAGCAGTTTCATAGTGCAGAAGAAAATCTAGAAGGTGAGGTGGTCCGAGTCTTAACATCAATTAGCTGGCTGGTACACATTAGTTGGATAGCTGGTGGATGGAAGAACTGGGCTATTTCAGCATCAGATACGTTACTGCAGCCCTGAACACAAACGCTGTATTGCCCATGTGCTCCATGTTGTGCTGGAGACTGTTCCCCACCAAAGCAATAAGGGATATTTGAGGATGCTGGTTTTTAAGACTGACATTGGCAGGTTTTATGTCTTGCTAATACTGAGTGTGAGATCATTAAACAGGCTGCCATCCCACTTCTTTAGGAGAGTGTTTTTGGTAATTCACAAGATATTTTAACCTACGTAGAGTTGATCGAACACATAAACAGGTAGAATTGTGTTTTCTGACAGTGGCCAAATCCCACTGTTACATGATAAAGACAGTTAAAACCCACAAGTTGTTTGTCATAAATGGGACTGAAGGATCTATTCCCAGGTATGTTGAGTAAAAAATAGAATGAAAGCAACAAAAACCATTGTGAATAGAATAAAACTTCAGTTGCTTATAGTCTTTCTGTAAGAACAGATTTTACTACAAACATATTTCTATTAATGTGGGTAACATTAATATAATTTGGGTCTATGTGTCTATTTGATAAACATTATAATACTCTGCATTATTCTCTATATTGAAAGCTCTAATATAGTTTCTGTTGTCTTTACAGACAGGACTATAATAATTTCTATTCAGGATTCACATAGTTCACCTAAAAGGCCAGCTGTCAGCATGAGATACCAGAATTCTGTTGACTTGACCACTGTCCAGTGAGTCTGCTCTGGTGTTTGTAAGCCAGTCTCATCTGGCCTGGAAGGCAGTGGCTACTTGGAGATCAATTGCAATGTCAGCTTGCCCTGTGGGCAGTAAGAATAATTCTTCCATGCTCTCCTTCATTAATCTCTTCTTGTGTGTTTTTGCTCTCCATGCCTTCAAACCAACCCTGGTGCTGGCCCCTAAATCCAGCCTCTTCCTCACATGTTCCTGAGCGTAGCCAGGGGTTGCTGTGACTGCCTGTGGATCTGTGGCTCAGAAGGATCTCCATTCATGTGAGATTTAGATCCTACCTGCTTTTTACCAGTAAGGGTTGCCTCTGTTGCCAGTGGGGCATGTTCTGTGGTTTAGGATTTCCTCACTGGTGAAAGCTGTAAGAAAATTAATGGAATGATCTTTCAGCTGATTTACATCTGGCACAGGAGATTGTAGCACTTTCTTTAATTTTAAGTCTGTTCAATCTGATGGTTTGTGATCTCATCACCCTTACCAGTGCTCATTTCTGCTCTGGAGTCTACATATCCGACCCTGTGCTCCATCTCACAAATGAAATAACTAGATTCCCAATTATGGCTTGTCACCTTAGTAATTTTGGATTTCATATGTGCCTCCCTGTATTAAGAGAAAAATCTTCCAAGACATCCAGGTACAGGCGATGTGCTTAGCCAAAGTGAATTTTCGTGGCTTTCGGTTTTTCTGATAAGAGTACTAACCTCTTTATGGATAAAAGAAAAAAGCTCAGAAAATATGGCCAGATGTCAAGTTAATCTTTTGAAGTGGTTTTTTCTCTTCCTTGAATTCCTAGTACCAGAATACATCTTACAAGGTAGAGTGTTCTTGTCAGCCTGCTTGTTGTACCATTGCGCTGTTTTTCTGGCTACTTATAGTGCATCATCAAGACAATAATGGTGCTGTCAGACACCATTTTTAATATTTCTGTTGTCCTGAATTTCTAGTTGTCTTGTTCATTCTTTCACCTTAATCTCTTGTTTTCCTATTTTTCAATAAAACTTGACTTTTTTTCTTAATTAAAAAAAAAAAAAAAGCTTGTCAGAATAATGCTGTGCGTCACCTACGCTACCCCTGCGAGGAAGACTTATAAACTGAAATATGGAGCACCTTTACCAGCCCAGCAACTTAGCTTATTCTTGAACTGATGAACACGGCTCTGAGTTTTATGTTGATGCCCCATGCTGCCCCACTGATGTTAGGAGCTGGTTGCCACAAAAGTGCTGTTTTCACCAGGCATTTTGCTAGGCAGTTTAAGAAAGGAGCTAGCTGCCCTCTGGATAGTAACAAAGTATAATTCATGTGTTAGATTTCTTCCTTTTGCTTACAAGTAACTTGGCCTTATGGTATTAATAGAAACACCATTTTCAGGAATTTGAGAATAAACATAATGGTCCAATGTTTTAATTTTTCTGTTAAAATAAATGCAGAGAATAAAAGTTTTTTTTTTCTCCTGTGTGTTTTTATTACTTGGCTTTAATATGTTTAAGATAGCAATCCAGACAGAAATAGTAGTCCATGGTTTGTTTGTTTCCCAATTTTCAGTAATGGTAAGCTCCTAATTGGCAATCCTGACTTGTATTTCTGCCTCGCATACTTTCAGTTTGTGTATGACCTTTCTGTCCCATTTTCTTACCTGATGAAAGTGACACTGATACTTGGATCTGTATTGCAGAAACAGTAAGATTTATAGTACTGTCTTCTTAGGAAAAAACAGATGAAAATACCTACATGTCAGTTGTATATACTTTGATTTTTTTATTAATTTGAAAATTCTAAAGATTAATTGAAGCAAGTTACAAAATATCAGAAGAAATTCCCATGCTCATGTAAGACATATGAGGAAAAATCTCCTTTGAACTTGAATTGTGACATTTGTAGCCTTTACTAATAAATAGTCAGATAACTGGGGGAATGGAGTATTTCAAAACTCGTATTCTGAAGCAGTTGGTGAAAAGCAACACAAGAATTTCATTTGATGCCATTGGCAACAGTATTTGCTTCTTCAGTGGTTGTTAGGAAGGGAAACAGAAGGATATCTTGTCTTATACCCATAGTTGTCTTAGACTGAATGCTACTCCTTCAATTCTCTGTGCTATTTATCTTTGTCGAAACCTTTCCAAACTGTTGAAAGCTAAGGAAGAAAGGACTGCTTTAAAAAAAATCTTAAAAATTTTTAAAAAGCTGCTTTAGTTCTTCCAGCATGCATAATATAAAATATATCTGCACTATCTTATATCATACGTGCACCTATGTGTGCACACATATGTGTTTGCACTTACGTATGATGATATGGATGTGGGTTTTTTGTGTATAAATAGGTTTATGTTTGTATACTGTATATGATATGTGTATGTTCCAAAGTACAATCTGCATCTGTTCACACAGCTTAATTTTTTTAAGGAAAAGTGTCTTGGAGGTCATGCCTTGTTTCAATGCAAAACTCTTGTTTACTTATGAGAATGTGAGGGCTGGATGTTGCAGCCAGTTGACTAGAAGTTTTAGATATTTTCCAATTAGCTTCCTGGGGATGAGTTCCAAATAGGGTCAAGTTCAGAGCTCCAGTATGGACTGGAGTGTCTCTTCTGGTTTTGTTTGGAAGTCGTTTTCCGTTTAGAAATGGAAAAAAAAAAAGAGGAAAAAGAAAAAAGTTAAATTTGTCTTACTCTGGGTGGCTACGTGTTAATAAGTAACTCAAAGTTCTTGCTGTATTTACTGGAAGGGAATGGGCATTCCTAGAACATCGTTCTAAATTAAATGTCTGCAGTAAGTGAATAAATCACTCCTTGAAAGTTCCTATTTCTCTGAATCGACTGTGAAGCCAGTGTAATGGATGACTTGCCAAGATGCAGGTATACATTTGCTTTGAGGTGAGCCTTACCTTTAGTGCTGTCCTCTGAAGCCCTTCCACTTGTTAATTTTTACTTTCCCCTTAAAGTAATCTTAGGCAATGAGTAGAATCATTCCCCCCACCACCCACCCCATTCCCATGCTTATTACAAGGTGAATATAGTCATTGAAATATATTGCAGTAGGAAGATAATTTCAGAGCCCTCATGGGAGCATAATAATTAAACATTAGCAAGTAAATAAGCAACAGCATAGAAAACATGACATATAAATAGCCCCTGAGATAACCTGATAGCCTGCAAGCTGTTCTTCAGTGGCTTTCAAGCCATTACTAGATTAAACCTTTCTCCAATCAGACTGTGATGGTAATGTCAAAAATCACCTATATTTGTTTGTTTTGACTTTCAGGTAGTTTGAAATAAATATACCCAGCTATTTTGTGGCTTCAAACTACAATTATGCCAGGAAGTTGATTCTGCAGCCGCTTGGGAATGCAGTCTGAAGGCCTGCAGTGTGCCAGTGAGCGTCGGCCAGGACACAAGGGCACTCGGTAACCAGGAAAATGACTGGCTTCCTTGAGGAAGAAATAAAGAAGGAACTTTTATTTCTTGCGTAGCTGGAAGGCAAAGCAATACAATTTGGCACCTGGTTAACGTACAGAAGCATTTTTCAAAATACCTCTTGGCTGTGTGGATCTTGTAACTCTGATGCAAACGTGCCTTTGGACTTGTGCAAATAAATCATTGGAAGAATTGATTGGGCAAATCAGTCATTGAAAGAGTGGCTGTTGAAGAATCATGACGAAGCACTTGGAGATCATCAATTTGTCATTTTTGTTGGAACATGAAAGGGAAACAATATTGGGAGTATTGAAGAGAGATGAGTATCTGAAAAAAGTTGAAGATAAAAGGATAAGGTAATGCTTTTTATTATTGTTCTTAAAAATATGGTCTGTAGTATAGATATCTCTCTGGTACCCGGTGAAGATTTGCTAGATTCCTCAGGAGAAGGATGAGTGTTGGGAGATGGCACAGTTAATTACAAGTCAAAGTAAAGCGTGTTAAAATTGCTTGCTAGTGTGACCCTCTGTAAATAAAATATTGTGTCCATTGCTTCAAGGCAAAAGCATAAGAAAGATAACAAGTGCAAAAATACACAGCAGTGGTTTTTACATTTCTGATTCTGTAGGTTTTGCCCAGTTTGGCTGAACTTCCTCCCTGTGAATAGAAGGCTTTAGTAAGGCTCTTGAACTTCCTCTGAGAGGAGCTGTATGCTTTGTGCCTTCAGAGCTGACTGCGGAAGGGCAAGTTTGGAAGGTGTCACAGGGAGAGAAAGTAGGTGTCTGCCTCTACATGAGCCCATATAACATGGGGCAAATGTGAGATAGTGACCTTTTTCTTTCTCTTGCAGTATTTGCAGAATAGGGAGGGGGGAGGACACTTCATTTTTCAAATTACTTAGATTTCATAATAAATAAAATTGAAAGTCTCAGGTATGGATTTCAAAAGTCACTGATAGAAGTTTGAGACTCAGGGTATTAATAGAGTCCATATGTTCCTTTCTGAGGAAAAAAAAGGTAAAAATCAAATTTCAGAGGACAGTGTGTGGAGGCAGGCTAAGATTCAGCTATTGTAGATGACTCAAATTCAGTTAGTTCAGCTAAGTATCAGTTCTGTAAAGGTTCATTCCAGCATGTTGTTGCTGCTTCCTCTTGCTTCTCCCTGCTGCCCTTTTAAACTCTTATGCAGTGCTGGTTCTGAAAAACAGGCTTAGTGTAGATGTATGTGGCACTTGGTGAGTCTGCTGCGTGTAATGGATGACAAAGGGAAGATTTCCAGCCTTTGCTGGTTTCTGGCCATGTATTCCAAGCCAGGCTGTATTGTTCTTCCCTTTGATTTGCTAAAAAGCATTTTAGACATTGTGCATTACCGAGATGTATATTCAGCACCTGCTGAGGCTTCTTTTGTATAAAACTATTATTTGGAAATTCATGCAGAGTTAGCCACTGGTTTTGGAAGTCTTTTTACCTTGTGAGAAAAAAGTCTTAAGTGAAATGTGCCTATTGGTGTGCAGCCCATTTAACTGGGGAAACATAGTGGCTCATCTAAATGATGTGGGCTAAAACAGGTTGCTTCTGCTACTGCAAGACTGGAAGGAAAGGTGGGTTTTTTTTTTCTTTTTTCCTTTTTTTTTTATGTAGTGGTGTGGGCAAATTAATCACTTCATCTCCTTCATAATTTGTCAGATGAAGAAGAAAACAGAACACAAGAAAACAGATGGAGCACTGTTTGTTCCAGGCATTGTTCTCTATTTTGTAATAGGATAAGCATTTCAAAGTTTTATAAGGTGGTGGCCTTGGGAGTGTGTGATGTGCCAGTAGTCATCGATCACAGGCGTCAGTATGAAGTGCAGCAGTGTATCAGATCACTAGCTTCTCAAACCTCCAGAAAGCTTTCTTTTCTACTACTGTCGTTTCCCAATCTCAAGTGGAAGGTTGAAACTCCTGAGGTTTTGTGGAAGTTTGTTTGTTTGCTTTGGTTTTTTGTTGTTATTGTTGGGTTTTTTAATATGATGTCTTCAAATCCCTGATTATCTGCCTTTTTTTGGCACTACTGGAAGTCACTCTGCCAAACCTACTGAGTTTGAGAACCCAAGGTACATTTGGAGGATGCAGTTCAGTAAAGCAACGAGTGCTACTGGCTTATCTGTGTTTTGGTACAAATGAAAAGAGTACCCTGAGAAAAGGCTGGAAATTAAGTTAACCTGAAATATAATGCTAATTAAGCTAACTAACAATGCAATGTGATGCTTATGCATACTTCCAGCACTTGTATATGAACCAGTTGGTTTCAGATTCAGAGTATATTTGGAAAATTGTCACTAGACCATACTGTGCCTGGTAATGGTGGAATGTAGTCTGTAAGACTTCCAAGATATACAAACTATAAGGAACTGGGTGGTAACTGCTTGCTAGGAGACTTCATAATTTTGCTTTCTGAATACAGCTAGGCAAGGATATCTTTAATTATGGCTTGTAAGTATACTTCAGAGGAACATTTGTCGTCTTTGGAATTCCATTTGTTGCAATCTGTTATATATTTTATTGAAGTACTTTGCAGAAGAACAAGTCCCTTTGTATTTATTTTCAAAGCATTTTTCATTCTGGCAAGATGCTTACTTATATATTGTACTGAAGAATTTTTATTTGTCTGTTTCACTCTTTCTGAATTTATCTTGATAATTGTTTTTTCTGTTCCTATTAGTCTTCAAAAGCCCCTGTAACTTGAAAGAGTCTTTCTATTCAACATGAAAGCAATAGCAAGCGTAGGAGACTGTTCTAATAATGAAATTGTTAAGAGTTATTTTTATTATCACTGCTCATGCTTGTGTTCTGGAGTGCAGGTGGCTGTTCTTGTATCTCTATTTGATGTACAAATATTTCACCTACATGCGAGGGAAACACAGAAGGCAGCAAATACTCTTTCTGTGGTCTTGTTCTGATAATGCAAACAAGCAACCTGCTTAATAAATATCAGGGTTTATGTTCTCAACTTTAAGTGTGTATCTTGTGTGACTTGAAATTTTCTTTGAATATTGATTTAAAGAATTTAAATTTCTAAATTGTTAGTAGATTACTTGTGCAAATAGTCTACAGTGTTCTACAATGCTTTTGATGTCAGTTGAATGGCCATTGTGATTGTTTTCAAATACTAAGATTATTTGTGTGAAATAATTAAATTACATAAAGCTAAAATAGCTAAAACCAGTGAACTTAGAATCACAGAATCATAGGCACGATTTGAGGTTGTTTCCTCTTGACTTATTGCTAACGTACATTGCTTTCTTATCATGACTGTTTTCGTAGACAGTATTTAAAATACAAAGGTTTTTTTTCAGTCTTTACGAAGCAAAGCTGTGAATACCATGCTTTTAGAAGAGGAGATACCAGTGTAATAATTGCTGAACTACGAAAACAAAGAAGGAACGTGCCAGTTTCCTCCAAGAATAAGGATTTACTGGGTTATTACTTGAATCATCTTCAGCATCCAGGTTGTCAGTTGTGTAAGAATTGCACCAG